TTTTTTTTTTTTTTTTTTTTTTTGCATAAATTCTAGTATACTTTAGGTAATGGCGAAATAATTTCCACTTCATATTGACCTATTTGCTTAATATCTTAATCAATGGCTTTTGTTGGAGAGACTTCTACATCAACACGTTGGTCAAAATGTTGATGATACTTGACTTGGACACAGTTTAAGACCTGGACATGGCCCTTTGTGGATGTGCCAAGGCTTTCATACTTTTTTGCCCACAAAGTTTCAATAACTTATTTGAGAAATGACATAACTATTGCTTTGTATCTTTTATATGATTACCATATTTAGACCCGCACGTATGAATTGTGGTTTTGATTTGTTATACAACCTCATTTTAAAATGACGATCATTCTACAATATTAAAACATTGACTGTTTAACCATTTTGGTTACATGCAATACCCATTTGACTGTCTAACCAATTGGCTCTTCGTTAAGCAAACACTTTAAGGCAAAATCTCTTAACCTCCTAACTGAGCAAACGTTCTCGGAACCATAAGCAAACACTCACATGCTCGCCTAAGCAAACACTTAAAGGCAAATCTCTAGACCTCATGACCAAGTAAACTCTCTCAACTAGGACTCAAGGCTTAGAGGGCTTCTGTACCAATAAATAAGGTCAGATATGACAACCCAATAACCTTCTCGGTTTAACATGATTTAGTGCCCTCTCGGCTAGAGTAACCTGAAACCTACCAGCCATAGGAAGTACAAGTCTTAAATAAGGAAACTAAGTTATGAGTCTTAAAAATGATTACTAGGAAAGGTGTGATTCTTATCATATCTTTCCTAAATGCAGTGCAAGAATCACACTATAAATAAAGCCCGCAAGCCTATAAAAGGAGTAAAATCCCTCAAGTTTAATACAGTTTATATATAATCCTTAGTCACCTATTATATGCATGTGTTCTTACAACCCCACTAACATGAGCATCAGAGTGCGTTTACAGGTACTAACTCCTCTCCTAGAGGTTGGAGGACTTGGAGCACAAGGAAAACGACATATCACGAGGAGGAACTCTCGACATCAGGGAAAAGTACCTAACCTTCTGCAAGTATATTTTGGCACCCACTAAGGCCCAGTAAAACTTTTCCCCAGCAACACAGATCAAGAAATAGCATATGCACCCACGGTGTAAAAGTTTACAATATTATCATAAATTTGTTGCCTTTTTATAATAATTGCTTTAAAAATCATATCAACCACAATTTCTAATTGGCTTAGACTGACAGTATGTAGAAATTAAACTCTCTATAATTAAGAAGAGTAGTGCAATTTAACATCTTTAAAGGAGATTATAATTTACCCTGTAACCATAGAGGGAAAGAGAATGAAACGAGATAAAACATTAATAGGGGATCATCAATTATCACATCTGGAGAAAACTACATTATCATCTCAACCTCTACCACAATTTGTGAAATAAAATAATCTCAAGTCCTCAACCACATACATAGTAACAATGGAGTACGGAAGGGAAGCTCCACCTGCACCACCCTCAACCTTGTCTCTCTAACAAATAACATCACCTTGTGATGGACACCAGAAAAATATAGCTAATACATTTATGCTTTACATGCAAGGAACAACATTTCCACAATCCAGACAAGATAACCAATGAATGTCAATGCGAGTAAGCAATTCATCACATCGCCTTGCCATCGTCTTCCTCAGGGTCACGAAGTGTCCCAAACATCCAATCCATCCATATGGTGTAATGGCCGTAGTTGTGCCGATATGTAGTATGATGAATGGTGTGGTAACCAGCACCCATAACAGGCCACAATTTTCCATGAATGCAGTCATGAATATTTGCAGTCCAAACGCCCTCAATGAATAAGAGAGCTAAATGTGTAGTAAAATGTATTGGGACCATAAACAAAGCAATGCAATGTGGTAATGCCTGAAGTATCCCATCAAGAGGATGAAATGCCAAACCTGAGATACATGGTAAAACAAAAGTCACTCCACCCTTTATCCGGTAGGAATGATATGGACAAAACTGGTGATATTTAATATTAAAGTGATGATGAAAAAGAAATAAATGGTAGAGCAAATAAAGATGATGGTACAGCATATAAAATGATGATGTCAAAGTACAGCGGTACCAAAATGGAAAAATTGCTTCCAGCAAACAAAATGAGGATAAAAAATAACTAGCATATATTATATTAGTTAAAGGTCTAGTTATCAGTACTCAACCAACAAAAATGGAAGGAAAATATAGTATCAACCAACTGTTTGGAAGGTTAGCATAGTTTACTTTGTCAGTTTGCATTTAAAATGTCAAACAACGCAGGCAAATAGAAACAGACAAGATCAAGCTTTCAGAAAAAGATGATACCACTGGAAAACACTTGGTGTATGATGGCTAAAAGGTGAAAAGTGGCATAGCATGTTGTGAAAGTTATGCAATGCTTCCAAGGAATTTTGACTAAGGCTAGCAGATAATAATACCTTGAACCATCACCTCGAGTTTGGAAAGTACATCCACAATCCATTGGTTGACTAAACAAGTCAATGAAATGGGTTGTCAATGAGAACATTATTGATAGTGGAACAAAACTACTTCGATTTCTGCAGAAGTACATATCTTTGTCTCCGTATTTTCTATATTGGTTTTTGTCCATAGCTTTATATCCCCCACAAACTCTTCACTGATTCTCTCTGTTTCTGGTCAGTCTTCTTCCTTTCAGAATGTCTGTATATCTATTTCTATTTCCCTTTTATTCTCACTAATATTCCATTTCCTCAAATGCATGCTCTTCCATATGAGGTTTCACGAGTTTCTTAGAGAAGATGGAGCAAGTATTTTAAATTGGTGATGTGTATATGACTCCGTGTATCTAGAAAAGAACATATCATCATTTTTCACCACCTAAGGTTCAGTAGGACTGGTTTTATTTCAAAGCTAGAGTGATTTTGAGTTCATGAAGAAGTGACCAATGTATCATAATAATCATATCATCAAACTTACATTTTAGATCATTAAATTATACAATGAGTTATTAACTTGGGAGGTTTGCCAGGAAAACAATCCGTCAAAATCACATATTGTGAAATTCTTACCAAGTTCTAATCCTCAAAATTATTATCATCTGCCAAATTATATACATATGAAATAACCGAACAATAACAAACATTTTTTTAAAACATTATGAACTATGTTCATTTCAGGGATTATAGAAGTTTAAAATAATTATATGGATAAATAGAATTTTAGCTTGCATAGCTTGAAATGTTGAATATTTAATGTACTTACCAGCAAAAGGGGAGAGAGTGTTCTGTTTATTGTAGATGTGATGGGTAGCATGAAGATATTTGTAAAGAGGTTTTATGTCATGCAGCTCTCTGTGCATCCAATAAATACCAAACTCTACAATAATTAGATAAATTGCTAAATACACAAAGTATGCTAGCCAACCAACATTATATAATCTAGGATAGGCCAGTGTCCAGCCAGATTCTATCATGTACTCCGAAACAGTTGGAAGCAAAGTGTACCAAGGCATGGCTTTCATAGCAACAGATATTTGCAAGAGCATGGCTCTTCGAGAGGGAATAGCATCTGCAATGGTAGATTTAAATATGTCAAGAAATGAAAGGTACAAAAGGTCCTATAAGCACCTTACACAATGAAATAAAGAATTAAAAACACAATGACACACAAAAACTACATATAAGTATACTTGGAAGAAGCCATTAGTTTGGGCAATGTAAACTCATACAATACAATTGTCCTACTTAGTTGTGTTTGCCCTACGATGATTCACTTTCTAGAGATGGATATAACCAACACAGTCTCAGACTTCTAAAACTGCCCCAATCTGAACAAAGATTATTTCATGCCACTGCCTGACATAAAGCAAGAGGTAAAATATAACTAGTATGCCAGTGGGAAATCTGTAGTTAAGAATAGCATGTTATATCATTTTCAACAAGCCATCAAACTAAAGAGTGAAGTACTAACTTTAAATTGTCAATTTGTCATTCACAGCCAACTGACAAATTGCTATAATTTAGGAAGAAAAACTAAAGAAAAATGCATAGCAGCTATCTAAATAAGGCTCTAGTCAATTTATATAGGTATGAATTAATGAACATCAATCTTCTAATTGACTAAAACTATACGATGTAGAACAATTCACTGTCAGTATTATCCTCCTAGTAAAATTTCCAGTTGCATACTTATAAAGCTTCCAGATTCCAAAAACTGTAACGCTATGGCAACACTTGTGGTTGCAGACCGTATTTTAAAACCTCAAATATTAGTAATGATGAAATTGAAAATGGCCCAAGGAAGCCACAAACAATGTCCACCATTTTGGAAAGATCATAGCAGAGTGCAAAATAAAAGTCCTCTCCAGTAATGCATAAAGATAAGTGGTCATTTCAAACGGGAAAGCAACTGCCCAAGTCTAAAAAAATTCGATCACTAATATTTGCAGAATTTAACAGATATTACAACTAATAACTGCAGCACATGCATCACATTTGGTTCAGTGACTTTTTACAGAATAAGGACAGAAGTCTCTGATAGTTGCTTAATGTATAGTGAAACTGAAAAACTTGCTTCAACTTAAAACCTCTCCACATCTTTCTCCCAGACGTCACAAAAACACAAACAACAACAAAGGCCTTTTACTCACTGAGATTGTTACACGGATCAGACGTTACACAAATACAAATGACACCAAATCCACTTAAATCAACTAGCTTAACAAGAGAACGCCCATTACGCCAACGATCCTTAGAAGGCACAATACATCAATTAGATTAGAGCCAGTCACTCAATTTACCAAAACAGCACGTAAATATACAAAATATAAGAAAAATAAAGAATCAGAAAACAGATCCACGAAAAGTAAAGAATAAATTTTTTATAAAAAAAAAAAAAAAAAAGTTGTGCTAGAATAAATAAATAAAATCCAAAAAAGAATCAGATATCAGCATAAACTCTGGAATCAGAGAATCATAATACATCTCAGACAAACCAATAAAAAACCAAAACAAAAAAGTCAAAAACCGAAAATCATACACTAGAAGACCCAAATCCAATCTAACTCCAATTCGTCACCCCATAATCTTAAGCCCCAAAAACAAGTAACACACTAAACAAAATCCAGAACACCAAAAAAAAAAAAAAACATTTTTTCTTAATTTCATTTTCTTAATTAAAAACCACAGCAAAAGAAGGAAGCCGATCAACAAACTAAGCAAAACCCATTTCACATCAAACCCAAAATATGCCATCTTTAACAAAACAAACAGAGAACCACAACACAATTCGTTATCTCACCATTAGAGGCAATACGTGAATACCCCTGTTTTCGCACATTAAAAACAAACAAACAAAAAAAACAGAGGAACAGAACAGACAGAACCAAAAAAAAAAAAAAAAACCAAAAAAAAAAAAAAAAACCAAAAAAAAAAAAAAAAACCAAAAAAAAAAAAAAAAACCAAAAAAAAAAAAAAAAACCAAAAAAAAAAAAAAAACCTTTGGGGACGTAAACGTTGCGTTTGAAATAATAAATGTAGAAGCACCAGAAGAAGCCAGAGAGGAGGTAGAGAAGGACACCGCCAACGTAATTGCGGAGCCACGTTTGGAGGAAGTGAGGGAGTGGGGCCCACACGCACTGCGGCAACAAGCAGCCCAACACAATGCGGTTGTACAGCTCCGTGTCCTCGGCGAATAGCCTTCCGAAGTCGCTTAACGACGTCGTTGGGACCTCCATGAACGAATCAGAACTCCGAGACTGTGTGCGTTTGTGGGGGTAGCCAAAGAAACCCAGAGAACAGAGAGAGAGAGAGAGAGACACAGAGGATGATGCTCCTTTAGTTTAATTTAATACAAGTTCTCTCTTGGTTTCATGTGATGCCATGTCCATGTTTTCTCGCCTTATAACAATCACACTGTATTGGTCGGTCTTTCCGTCGATTCTCTTTAATATAAATTAAATTATGATTTTATTCTTTTATCCCATTTGGTAGGTCTAAGTGTTATTGTGGTCCATGTACTTTCATGAGTTTTTATTTATTTATTTATTTATTTTTATATTTTTAAAATTTATTTTTTTTTTGTTCGTTCCTGGAGTATCACCGCCAATAGCATGGAGGCATCTCAAAGGGTGAGATAGCTGATCCCAAGATTTAACACGGCTGCATACAATTTTGATTAAGCGTGAATTAACCCCTACCACTGAATCACACGCTTCAAGTTTTTTAAAATTCATATGATTATAAATGTTTGTTTTTTGTATTATTATTTATTTGAGATTTTCCTAATGTAATCACATAAACCGGTATGATTCACCGGATCCTTACTATTTTCTCTGACTTTTATAATGAGACCCCAATTTTTAAAATAATATGGTAAGACTTAATTATTAGGTTTCAAGCAAAAATTTTACTTTGAAAAATATTTTTATTAAATGTGTTTTTGATTTTGATAAATAAGCATAATTTATTTGATGTGTCTCTTAAAATATAAACAATCTCCTATTTTTGTTTTGGGAATGTAAAAACTTTATAAACATATACTCCATATGGATTCATGTATAAGCAAAAAATCATTTAAAATTTTTGGATTTAAATATAAATAAATTCTAACTAACTTAATCTTATTTAATACTACGATTTCAAAAATATCCCTTAATTAAATGTACTATTTTCAATAAATATTATTAAAGATGATTTAGGAAGTAAAATTTAATTTTTATATGAAATTAATAAAATTAAATGAACTTAGCTAACGTCCTATTACGTTTGAAGTAAAGTATTTTTGCTAATTAATATATATATATATATAAAAGTCTAGAGGGAATATCAAGTGTCTTATTAATTTAGGGATAATTTAAAAAGAAGTAGAAATTTAAGGTATATTTATTGATTTTAACGAAAAAAAATTAATTTTTTTTAATCTTAGTGAATTAGTTATTTGGGTCTTATAATAAGGACTAGGGAAGTATAAGTGATAATTAATAATTTATAAAGAAATAATGATCTTGTTTATAAGACACTATAAAATTTCTATAAAGTATTAAAAAAATCATCTTTTGCTCCTATTAGAGATAGTGAGACAATATGTATTTCTTTTTGTTGGATAATGATAAAAAAATGATAAATAAATGTTATCTCTCTTACCTTCCAAAATTTTCAATTGTCACTTATAAATTTTATTAGTATTGGTTCATAAGTTTTGATATGAAGTTTGATATTCATCTCTCTTATGAAAGTTTAATGATAAGTAATTATGATTTTATTTTATAAATGTAATAAATTAATTAATATTACTCTTACTCCATCATTAATATAAGATATTTTTAATTGAATCACATGAACCAATATAAATAGTTATGTCAATTATTTGATTTATAAAATAAAATCATGATATACTAATTTTACTCTTCTTACTTATTATATAACAAATGTTCATGGCAAAAGTGAAAAATAAAATTGATAAATGTTGATTGGAGAATTTAAGAAGTGATAAAGAACATTTATTTCTCAAATTATATTTTTATTACTTAACAAAAAAATACATATTTTCATAATCTTTGTTAGATAAAAGATGAAAAATAAAATTAATATTTTATGAAAATCATAAAATGAAAACACACACAATGTTATTATAGAGACTATTATGTAAATTTTATGAAACTATAGGAACTAAAATGAAATATTATTATTATTGGTGGGTGTTGGGGGTAGTATGCTCAAAGTTTTCGGTTTGAATATTAGTATTGTTATTATAACTCTAATAGATAATAGATATAAAAAAAAAGGTACAATTCATGAATTATAGGAAAAAATATTTAAATCTATTTTTAAATTCAATATTGGTACTTTATCTTTTAAAAATTAATTTAATTATTTATATTGATCAAGTGTCTCAAAAATAGTTTTTTTTTCATACCATGATGATCAACATTAAAAAAAATTTAAGTTGATCATTAATGGTACACGTTGACATAGTTTTTAATGTACAAGGACTAAATTGAATCATATTGAAAATATGAATGATCAAATTGAAACTATTTAAAAAAATTAAAGGACTAAATTAAACTTATTTAAAAATAAATAAATAACTATGTATTAGCTCAATTTCATAAAGTGATACTGAGACAACTTATAAACAATATAAAATGTATTTGAACACAACTCAAATTCACCATTTTGAGCCACTTTATAAACTTAAATGTCTAAATTTAATACTTTGAATGATAAAAAACCAAACTAAACTAAAAAAAATAAAATAAATGACTTAAAGTATTTTAAATCTTTATACTTGGTCCTTATCATAAAGTACTTTTAACTGGATTACACATATCAATATAAGTAATCATTGTAGTTAATTTTATTGAATTCATAAAATAAAATCATGGAATATCAATTTTACTTTTTTATTTATATTAATTTTTTATGGGAGGATGTGAAGATATTATTCTATATTAAAGTTTATGAACCAATGTCAATAAAATTGATAAATAAAAATTGAAGAGTTTAAGATGTGGGAAAGAAACTTTACTTCTCAGATGCTTCTCTCTAACAAAAAAACATATTATCATAATGTTTAATAAGGCAAAAGATGAAAAATAAAATCAATACTTCATTAAAATTGTAAACTACCTTATAAAAAGGACCACCATTTCACTCTAAATTGGCTTTATAATAAGGACTAGATGAAGTATTGTATTATTTTTTATGAATTTCATACATCTTGTCACCTATAGTGACCCTATATATCGACTCAAAAAGACAAAATTGTCTCATTGGAGGATACATGTGGTATAGATCCAGAAAAATTATATTTTATATTAAGTATTAAATGTATTTAATGACATTAAATATTGGTTAAATTATACTTTTAATGTTTTATCTTAATTTTCAAATTCTTTCTAGTCTTTTATTTTCAAGAATATTTATTTTGATTATTTATCTTTTTAAATTTGGATAAATTAGATCATTTTGAAATAGTAATTGTTTCCAACTTTATGACACAATTTTGAATATTTTTTGATTGATTTAAGATGTAAAACTTGTCCCATTAAATTTCTTTACATGAAAACTATGTAGTTTAGTTAACATTCAAATCCAAAAGGATTATAAACAAAGTGAAAAACTAAAAATTGTTTGAAAAATATATCCCACAAGCATTTAGAAAATAATTTAAAATAATATCCTTTTAATTTTATAGTTACTTGTTAGACTGATTTTCATGCGTTTTATGTCGTTTTATGTAATACTGTGAGTTGTGGTAGTGTTATATTACTCTTATTTATTTTATGATGTTAAGTTGAGTTATCTGTGTTGAGGGGTTCACGCGTTTAAGTTTCCTTTTTTAGCTTTAATGGTATTGACGGGGGGGGGGGGGTTTCCCGGGGAGATATCCAGGTTT